CACACACTCACTCTCTCACACACACACACACTCACTCACACAGACACACCAGCCGGTCAAACTCAGTTCAACTCTCTCCTGTTCACTGAGACAAGAAGCTAAACATTCCACTACATAATCACGTGTAACTTTGTGTGTGTGTGTTTAGGGCGTTACTGAAGTTCTCTGTGAAGCCTGCGATCTGCTGGGATGGAAGAAACCGACCAAGATCCAGATAGAAGCCATTCCTGTGGCTCTGGAGGGTATGCAGCTCCTCACACACACACTCTCTAACACACACACATAGGGCTGGGTATCAAGTTCGATACTTTTTAGGCACCGACCAAATTGCCTCAATACCATCGAAAAACATCTTGTCGTTCGGTACCAAATTTCGATACCTAAGGGGTTAAGCTCATCAGCGTCAGTGAGCCAATAAGCCTGCAGCACTAGCCGGTGTGTTCAACTAGAAGAGGTGTGACGCAGATCGATCAGTGTTTGACATCCGCGAGAGCGATTCGAAAGCACACGGAGCAGTCTGCTCTCGTGGTACTGTAATACACTGATCGTTCTGCACAGTCGGTCCGCATCAAGTCGAACACACCTACTAGTTTACACTAGTTACACTCAGAGATTTGGCGCACACGTAAGGCTGTAGTGTGAATGTGTCCCAGCCCCCACAGACCTGACAGACACACACACACACACACACACTAACAGACCTGACAGACACACACACACACTAACAGACCTGACAGACACACACACACACTAACAGACCTGACAGACACACGCCCTGCCACAAAAAATAGAATAGTTGCTGTTGTCATTGTTTTTGATCTGTTATCTTGTATTCTAATAAATAAGCTTATATGACACCAATATTTTAGATACTAATTAAATTGTACAATTCTCTATTTCAATTTCGGTACCACAGCAAAAATCACTAGCCAAAAATAAACATAAATATAAAGTTTAAACATTATTAAAGACAAGTGACAGCGAATAAATAAGAAAGAACAAATGAACAAGTTACAAGTAATAGCACAATTAAATATAGGCATATAGCCGCTGTAAACTCAGCAGCACTTATGGTACAGGGATACAGCGTTTCCTTAGTTACCGCTGTAAACTCAGCAGCGCTTATGGTACAGTGATACAGCGTTTCCTTGGTTACCGCTGTAAACTCAGCAGCGCTTATGGTACAGTGATACAGCGTTTCCTTGGTTACCGCTGTAAACTCAGCAGCGCTTATGGAACAGTGATACAGCGTTTCCTTGGTTACCGCTGTAAACTCAGCAGCGCTTATGGAACAGTGATACAGCGTTTCCTTGGTTACCGCTGTAAACTCAGCAGCGCTTATGGAACAGTGATACAGCGTTTCCTTGGTTACCGCTGTAAACTCAGCAGCGCTTATGGAACAGTGATACAGCGTTTCCTTGGTTACCGCTGTAAACTCAGCAGCGCTTATGGAACAGTGATACAGCGTTTCCTTGGTTACCGCTGTAAACTCAGCAGCGCTTATGGAACAGTGATACAGCGTTTCCTTGGTTACCGCTGTAAACTCAGCAGCGCTTATGGAACAGTGATACAGCGTTTCCTTGGTTACCGCTGTAAACTCAGCAGCGCTTATGGAACAGTGATACAGCGTTTCCTTGGTTACCGCTGTAAACTCAGCAGCGCTTATGGAACAGTGATACAGCGTTTCCTTGGTTACCGCTGTAAACTCAGCAGCGCTTATGGAACAGTGATACAGCGTTTCCTTGGTTACCGCTGTAAACTCAGCAGCGCTTATGGAACAGTGATACAGCGTTTCCTTGGTTACCGCTGTAAACTCAGCAGCGCTTATGGAACAGTGATACAGCGTTTCCTTGGTTACCGCTGTAAACTCAGCAGCGCTTATGGAACAGTGATACAGCGTTTCCTTGGTTACCGCTGTAAACTCAGCAGCGCTTATGGAACAGTGATACAGCGTTTCCTTGGTTACCGCTGTGTTGCACCTTGATTTTTCATAGCCGTTTGAAATTAGAGGCAAGCACTGCATTTTAATCATGAATTGAAAGAAAAGTGCAATGTTTGATTTATATTAGGCTGTATAATCTGAAGCAAAAACAGAATAACCTGACTTTAGCTTTGTGAAATTATGCTACATAAAACATCTGCATGAAACAGAAACAGCAGATGGGCTGAATGAGACGCAGATTCACTCTCTGACAGCAGGCGGTGCTTATGAGACAGTGATGCAGCCGCTGTAAACAGAGCAGCGCTTATGATACAGTGATGCAGCGTTTCCTTGGTTACCGCTGTAAACTCAGCAGCGCTTATGGTACAGTGATGCAGCGTTTCCTTGGTTACCGCTGTAAACTCAGCAGCGCTTATGATACAGTGATACAGCGTTTCCTTGGTTACCGCTGTAAACTCAGCAGCGCTTATGGAACAGTGATACAGCGTTTCCTTGGTTACCGCTGTAAACTCAGCAGCGCTTATGGAACAGTGATGCAGCGTTTCCTTGGTTACCGCTGTAAACTCAGCAGCACTTATGGTACAGGGATACAGCGTTTCCTTAGTTACCGCTGTAAACTCAGCAGCGCTTATGGTACAGTGATGCAGCGTTTCCTTGGTTA